AAATAGATACTTTTTGTTATTTATTGATAATTACACTCGTATGACTCGGGTGTATATTTTATCAAACAAAATTCAAGTCTTATATTTGTTTAAGAAATTTAAACCTTCAATTGGAGAATAAAATGCAATCAAAATTTTCTAATTGAGATCAGATAATGGAGGAGAATATGCCTTGTTAGAATTCAAAAAAATTTGTGAAGAAAATAGTATTCATCATTAGTTTACTCTCAGTTATTCATCAGAGTAGAATAAAGTGCCATAAAGGAAGAACATAATAGTGATGGAGATAGTAAGACACATGTTTGCTAAAAGTTTTCTTCCCAAATATTTCTATGTTGAAGCAGTTTATACAACGGTCTATTTGATTAACAAACTTTTTACTAGGTTTATTAAAGGCATGACTCTGATTGAGGTATGGAATGGATCAAAACCATGACATGACACTTGAAAATCTTTGATTTAGTATGTTACAACCATATCCCCTAAGTTAAAAGAAGTAAATTAGATTACAAGGCTGAAATTAGTATTTTCTTAGGATATGTAGCTTAAGCCAAAGGTTATAGAATCTGCAATATAATGACAAAAAAAAAATGCGAGTATAGATGTGCTTGTTGATGAATAAACATTTCGGAATTGGGATAAAAAGTAAGTTGAAGCAAATATACTCATTTGGATGCAACTGTTGCAACTTTAAGTCCCCAAAGTATTACTGTTGAAAATGTTCAATTTAATTCTACAGAATTTGATGATCCAACTACAAATACACTAACTATAAAAACCAAGTGATTGGTAGAAGTTTGTGAAAGGTGTAATTTGACCATCGTTTTGTTGGGATTTTTCAGAGTGAAAAAAACTTAAATTTCTATTGATTTTACTTTCTTCAAAATTAACAAGTTAAAGTACCTTTAGATAGGTTTACATCAAATTTAAATTTCTTAAAAATAATCTATCACTATTTAAGAGACAAATATAAATTAAATCTCCTAAAGATAAACTCTGACTAATAACATAATTTTTTATTAATAAATATATTCTAAATCGATTTAAAGATAAAGGCTATTTAAATTTAAACTAATAAATAAAATAAATTATAATTTCTACATTTATCTTTAACACCCTCCCTTAATATAAAAATTATAATCACCAAATTTATTTTGTTGGAGCACTTTCATCCAATATTTCTTGTTTAATTTTTATATTTTGAAATATTTCTCTTCAATTATTGATTCACTTATCACCAATATCTGATTATTGATGCACTTCTCATCAAAATCATTTAAAGCATTTCTCTTCAAATTTTAAAAAAGTCTTCTTCAACAACATTTATTTGCTCATTTTTCAACCTGCAATTTTTTTATATATGCCCAAATTTTTTAGAATAAAAACATTGTGATTTACCTTTATGCCAACAATTTTTTTTATCATGATAATTTTTCTTGCATATTTTGCATGGTGAAAATTTTTTTCTCTTTGATGCTGATGAAGACTTGTTTGACATTGTGGCGAGAAAAACTCTCTCAATTATTTTTTCATCTTTCGTTGCTCTTTTTTGCTCCATGACTTGCAAAGCATCAATTAATTCGGCAACTATGATTTTTTAAAAGATCATTAGAATCTACAAGTGATGAAATCTTTGACTTAACTTTTCTGATAAGCTCACAAGAATTTTTTCAATAATTCTACTATCGCAAAAATCTTCATCAAATAATCTAATTTTGTTAATAAGCTCATAACACGTTTAGCCAACAAGGTATGAAGAGGCTATGAAGTACAAGGAGTGACAGCTTGTTATAAAGGAGGAGATTGACATGATCAATAAAAATGACACTTGACAGCTTGTACCAAGACCTGAAAATGGGTACGTTATTGGAGTCAAGTGGATTACATGACTAAATTCAACTCTGATGGTTCCATTTTCAAATTCAAAGCAAGTCGGTGGTGAAGAGTTATACGCAATTATTAGGAGTGGACTATGGTGACACATTTGCACCTGTAACAAGGCATGATACCATCAAACTATTGGCGGCCTTAGTAGCAAAGCTAAATTAAAGGCTCTATCATTTGAATATAAAATCAGTTTTTTTGAGTGGTCTCTTGTAGGAAGAGATTTTCATTGAACAAACTCATGATTTTGTAATTGAGAGAAAGATTGATATGGTACACAAGTTGAAGAAGACCTTGTATAGCCTCAAGCAGGCACCTAGGGCCTGTTATACCATAATTGACACTGATATGGTCAATAATGGCTTCAAGAGAAATGATAGTGAGGTTATTTTATATGCGAAAGACATTGAAAGCAAAAGACATGTTATGATTTTGATATATGTTGATGATGTACTTATGATTGGTAATGATCCTTATTCAAATTAGGAATTCAAACATGTTATGACCAAGGAATTTGAGATATCTAATCTAAGGGAGATGTGTTACTTCCTTGGAATGGAAATTAAATAAGCTGATAATTCAAACTTAATTTTTGCAAAGAAATATGCTTGATATATGCTTAGAAAATTCAAGATGGCACACTTCAAATCAGTAGCAACTCCATTGGTTGTGAATGAGAAGCTTTCGAGAGAAGAAGAAGCAAAGATGGTTGATACTAGAGTATATAGAATTCAGATTAGCAATTTGATTTACATGCCAACAAGGCCAGATATCATGTTGTCAGCAAGCTCGCTATCTCGATTCATACACTCCTCAAATAAGAAGCATATGAATGCAGCTAAGAGGGTGTTAAGGTACTTAAGAGGGACAATCAACTATCAAATTCTTTTTTCAAAGGTTGAGAGTGAGGAATTAATTAGTTTTTCAAATAGTGATTAGGCAGGGAGTGCTGATGACTCTAAAAGCACCTTAGGCTTTACATTTTCTTTTGATTCTGGTGTGTTTCCTGGGAGTTCAAAAAAGCAGAGGATCGTAACTCAGTCCACAGGAGAGACTGAATAAATTACAGCCTCTGGAGTAGACAATCATACAATTTAATTGAGAAAAATTTTGCAGGAACTTGGCAAATCTCAACCTCAGCCTACCTTTATCCATATGGACAACAAGTCAGCAATACCAATAGTAAATAATCCTGTCTAGTATGGAGAACTAAGCACATCAAAGTCAAATACTATTTCCTAAGAGAAGCAGAGAGAAACAAAGAAATTCACTTAGTTCGTTGTTCCTCTGAAGAGTGGATTGCTGATATATTAATCAAGATACTTCAAAGAAGCAAATTTGAAGATCTAAAGTCAAAGTTAGATCTATTCAATGAAAAACTCGAGGAAGGTTGACTGATAAATCTTTTTTTGATTGTTGCATATCTCCAGAAAATCAGCACAAGTCACTGGAAATCTATTAATTTTTTTCTTGGAACATATATAATCAGCAAATCTAATTTTCTGTTTATGTTGACTTGTTAATAGCTATACCTTAAGTTCATTTTGTATTTAAAGAGCTGAATGAATGTTGAAAATTATATTAAGATTTTCCAGCAACTTCTCATTTCTTCCTTGTATTTTGCTCTCTATTTTTCTTAACTTTCTTAATAACTTAATCAATTTTTTCACGAGTCTCAACAAGATTTACTGGTTTACAAACTGGAAGAAGACCTAGGTTTTTTCATTAGTTCAAAGAACAAAAAGACTTGGAGGTTCATGAGACAAAAACCGGTTCTGATACCATATTATTACAGAGAAAGTGAAAATTTGAGAGAGATTTTCATTAGTTAATTAAATGAAGCATACCATCTTTTATACTCTCCTAACTAACTCAAGTTAACTAAATAATAAACTCTAATACCAACCATTTAAAAATTGAGAATTTTTAAGCCATCTTTAAAGCTTAAGTTGAAATTTTCTTCGATCTCTTTCAAAGACTATTTATTATGCATAGAATGGAGATACTTTTTTCTTTAAAATATTCTTTTGCTCATTTTGATTGTCAAAAGCAAAAATTAAAATCTTTCACTTGCAGATATGGGCTGACACTGAAAAAAAAAGTTCTTAAAAATTTTGATAACTATGGGCAAAATTCAAATTGAGCTGCAACTAAGAACAAAACTTTTTTTTTTTCCGGTTTTTTAAATGAGAGTAGAATTACCCAATGAGAGTAAAATTACTCAATGATTACAAAATAAAAGAACAAAAAGAAAAGAGTATCATCTAAGAATAGACTAACTATTCGTATAAATACTCAGAAACTTCATTAAATACAATCTACATAATAATTAATTAAAAAATATTCAAAAAATAATTCATGTATTTATAACTTTAGCCAATAATATTGTGTGTTTTATCACCCTTACTGGTACTTAATATTAAATATATAAATGTTAATAATAAATCTTTTTGAGACAGCCCTATGTCAATTTTTGAGGAGACAAGGGAAAGAGATCAAACTCAATTCTACAAAAGGACTCTTCTATTCTTTATGCTCATTGAATTAACCTGCTGCACTGATTATGGGAACTCCCAAACAAGTAAATTAGATGATAAATTTGTTCTGTTTCCTTGATGAATGTTTACGCAATTCAGCTCTCGTTTCACTTAACAAGCCAAATACTTCGTGATTTTAGTAAGATCATTATCTCGAATATTCCCAACCCTTAATATATAAATGATCATTATATGATAAAACATTAAGAAATAACTCTTCTCTTTTTTTGTCTAAGGGTAATATATATAACAAACTTATAGTTTGAATAATCAAGAAAATGAGTATCTCATGTTTTAAAACATTAAAAGATTGATAGGTCCGAAGGACATCTCATTTAGCACAACTCAACATGCATCACTAGCAAAGCCCCGTAAACCCCTTACGTGTGCAGGAGGTTGAGTTCAGTTTTTATCATTAGCAATTAAATTTTTAGCACAACACAACAAAAAGACAAAATAGTTGACACAAATCAAACAAGTCTGACCAGCGCAACAACATTAACACCTCTATTAAGAATTTAGGTGTCTTCGAATCAAGTAAAGAGTAATTTGAATGTCACTGGGACACGTCACAAGGTGAAATGCAAAGATGAAACAAATTTCAGGTATTAAAAGCCACTCTATTCATTTCATATCATCCCCTTTCTCTATATTTTCAGTTCGTTCCAGTACTCACAAATCCTATAAACTCATTGCTGTAATTCCCGCACTTAAAATGCTCAAGACATGAAGGACCCCCAAGCTATGTACAGAGTTCCCTGTTTCAAAAAGGGGAATATACAAATGAAAATTCAAAGTAAAGGACAATAATAGACACGCCAATTGGCATCAACAGCTACGGAAGGGAGTGCAAACAATGAAGAAACACCAAACCAAGCCACAAAAGCTGAAACTCCGTCACCTGGACAAACAAAAAATGCACATGTAAGACACTAGCTAATAGAGGTATGCACTTGAATGAGAGAGGGAATGTTACTGTCATCAATTTATATTTTTACTGATTAGTATTTAATTTCCAAATAGAATGTTTTACACTTGTATTAACGTGCAATTAATTGGAAACCTACAAAACACATGGATACACATAATTAGCTGCATCCCTATCTGGTGGATCTATGTGCAACTGTTTATAAAAGAAAATTACTGAAATCTTCCTCCCCTCATCATCAGGAGAGCAGATAGCTATAGTAGTTACTAGGGATTGAAAGTAACTTACCATGTACCTTCAAGTAATAAAACAGAAGGTTGTTCGCACAGTAGGAGATAATCGACTGAGTAGAGGATGAGAGTGTCATGCTGGATCAAGGCAACTTCAATGCTTGCTTCACTTGTGCCAGCGCTGAAGGATGTATTCTGCTGATGGTATTATTGAAGGAATCCCCATGAAGTGCTGCACAAGTTTGAAGATTGTCTCGTACTGAATTTTCCAGTGACAATTGGTTGATAGGGTCGGAAAACTTTATCTACTTGGAAAGAGGATAAAAGTCGCATAAGGAATCTTTTTAAAGATATTTTACTTATTGGAATTCAAGTTTCAGCAGTTCAAGGATTCTCACCTGTCTTCTCCTGAACTCTTCTCTTGGAATAGGTCCATCGCCATGGAACCTACTGGAGCTCATGACGTCACCGCTGCCAGTTATTCCAGAATTAGGGATGAGAAAATATTTGAACCCAGAAAATCCACTACCAATTATATACGATATGGAAAAACCAAAATCAGAATGAATTTAACCTTGATTCTTCCTCTGTTGGGTCATCATTTCCACCCAAAATGACACTTGTACATGCACTATATGAAGAAGAAAAATAGATTACCCATGAATCATCTATGCGTGCAGAGAAATTAAAAAAGAAAAACTATCAATTTCCAACAACAAATTCCCACCATAAGATCTGATCAAGTTTGTCAAGAACTTGAGGTAGTCTTAGTGTCAGGATAATAGAAAGAGCTAGGGCAACTGTCTTTTTCTGGATGGATGTCATATTATCTACCTGCGAAAGATATCAAGACAGTAGTAATTGTAAATTAAACAAAAAAGGGGAAAATGGACTAGAGAGTGTATAAATAACCAAAAGCCCTTAGCACAGAATTGCCTCCCAAATTCTCTGAAACTAAATAAAGACATTCAGAAAAATACATGTCCCCTAGCCCTTAAAAGAAGCCAAAAACATCATCTTATCCCAAATGACCATAGGATGTACGGCGCATTTATTAAAAATTTTAGCACTAAATTCCAACTGCAAAATGGGATTTAGATATTCTTCAACACATGTTTATGAGTTCAAATGACAAGAGCATTACGGAAAAACAGGAACATCGAAGTGATGCATGCTGCCAGACCTTGTAAAGGTCATGTATCAACCTGACAAGACAAAGAGGTCTACTTTCTGTGATTCAGAAACTAGTAGGTATTGAAGTTATCTAGGAACTGATATTTCCGTATTTTCTTCAACTGAGGAAACTACACATAAGGATAGTCACCTCTTGATGCTTTGTTAATGTACTCAAGATTGTTATGAGAAACAAGTTCAAGTATGGGATCACTGCATCTTATCTTCGTGCAACACAATGGAATTTAGATTCTTTTTGGGACTGTGTACAAGTTCAAATGACTAGAACATTACAAAATGACACTACACAGACCTTGTCAAGCCATATGTCAACCAGGCAAAGAAGTATGTTTTCTTCAATTGGCATGCCTGCCTGGTGTAGTAGTAGCGAAAGAGATGGTTCAGATGTTAATTGGGCAAGGTGATTGGTATTCATCACTAAAATTCTTGCTAGGATAGCCACTGATGATGCTTTGACAGAGGCCTTAGAAGGATCATGATCATCTCCTCCACTT